TATTTCCATGCATTCTTTCATAATATCTGAAAAGATTACCATCATGCATCTTTGGAATGTAGCTGGAGCGTTACACAGTCCAAATGGCATTCGTCGAAATGTATATGTACCATACAGGCACATGAAAGTTGTTTTTTCTTGGTCCTCGGGTGCTATGGCAATTTGGTTATATCCCGAGTATCCATCGAGGAAGCAGTAGAATGCTTTTCCCGCTAATCTATCCAATATTTGATCGATAAAAGGGAGGGGAAAATGATCCTTCTTTGTGGCTTTGTCGAGCTTCTTGTAGTCCATGCATATGCACCATTCTGTGACTATTCTCGTGGTAAGGAGCTCATCATGTTCACTTTTAATCACGGTCACACCACCGTTCTTTGGTACACACTGCACTGGGTTCACCCTTGAGCTATCGGATATAGGATAAATTATTCATGCATCCAGCCATTTTATTATTTCTTTCATGACTACCTTCTTCATGATTGGGTTGAGCCATCTTTGAGGTTCCATTGAAGTGTTGTGGCAATCTTTTAGATTGATTTTATGCATGCATATGGTCAGACTGCTTCCCTTCAAGTCTAACATCGTCCATCTTATAGCTTTCTTGTGCTGTGACAAGACATTCAACAAACTATTCTCCTGTTCGGAGGTTAGGTTAGCAGAAATTATCACTGGTAGGGTTTCATCAGTTCCTAGATAAGCATATTTCAAATGTGATGGCAAAGTTTTAAGTTTCAGTTTCGGTGCATGTTGCGAAGATGAATCTTGACACTTAACTTCATCATAATCTAAGGGTTCAAATTTCATACCTGATCTATTATTAAGAAGTCTCAATTGGTCCCTTATCTTTGATTCGTATTTTGCATTGACCTCGTTATCAGGGTGTTCAGTGTTCAAATTTTCATTGTCAGGGCCATGATTGTCAGAATTGCATTCTGAAAATAATTCGTCTCGGCCAAAGTTTTCTACTCCATGCATCTCGGTTGGAGGGTCTTGGTACAAAGGGTTGTATTCATCGAGCCTTAGGGATTCACCTCATCCAAGGATTACCTTTTCTTCAATCTCATTAATGCATTAAAATTCCTCTAAATTGTCCACGTATTTCATAGAGTTGAATAAATTGATCGTGATGCTTTGCTTGCCTACTCTAATGGTGAATTTTACTTTTTCACAATCGATGAGGATTCTCCTGGTGTCTAAGAAGGCGCGACCCAGAATGATTGGTGCTCTTTCATCGGCTTTGCAATCCAGGATGAGAAAATCAACTGGAAATACAAATTTGTCTACCTTCACTAAGACGTCTTCTATTCTATCGTTGGGTCGCACATAAGACCGATCAGCCAGCTGTACGATGACTGAGGTGGGTTGGGCGTGATATCCCTCGAGTTTCATAAATATGGATTTTGGTATCAAGTTTACACTTGATCCCAAATCAAAAAGATCTCACCCTATGAAGTCATTATTAATGGAACATGGTATTTTAAAGCTTTCAGGATCTTTTTACTTTGGTGGGAGTTTGCTTACTGCAGAACAGATTTCTGTTGCCATGGCGACATGTTTTACATTCCGTTTCTTTGTAACTATGTCCTTAAGAAACTTGGCATAGAAAGACATTTGCTCGATTGCATCCAGTAAGGGCACATTAATACACAACTGATCCAGAACATCAACAAATTTTTTGAACTGGATGTCATCATCATGCTTCTTCAACCGTTGAGGGAATGGTGGTGGAGGCTTCACATCGACTGTTGATGGGGCTGAGAAATCACTGGCCTTGACCATAAATTTCTTACTATCCTGTTGATGTTTTTCTGAGCCTTCACTTCTTTCCTTTTCTTTGGTAAATTCTTCTCGTCCAACATCATCAGATTGATCATCCGATTGTGTTACACCTTGGCGAGAATTGTTCAGGTGACCTCCCCCAAACTTGTCATCTTGGTTGACTTGTTTTCCACTCCTTAGTGTGAGTATATTGCATTGCTCCATCCCATGATGCTTAGTAACTTCAATATCACTATGTAGATTTCCATGAGGGCGAGAATGTAATGTCGTAGCAATTTCTCCCACTTGATTCTCCAACGCTCTAAGAGATGAACTACGGCTTTGCAAAAGTGTTGCTTGACTTTGTAACAGATTTCCTTGATTTTTAATTGTTGTTGAATGTTCTTGCATCAAGGTCTTTATGGAAGCCATGAAATCTTTTGTCGAGGCCATGAATTCCTAGAATGATAACTCCAACGAGTTAGTATTCGGATTATTATTAGAGGAAGAAGCTATACCTTTATTATTTTTCCAGGGCTGCTGATGATGTTGATTCTAAAAATGTTGATGATAAGAATAATTTTGTTGTGGCCTATAATTTGCGGCTTGATTGCTGCTTCTTCCTTGATTATTCCATGAAATATTTGGGTGCTGTCTCCAACCAGGATTGTACGTGTTCAAATAAGGGTTATTGTTGTTTCGATTGTAGTTGTCCATAAAATTGGTTGAATCATGGTTTTCTAGACATTCTCTCTCATGATGGTTGCCATGACAGAATAGGCACATTGACTTCTCTTACCTCATTAGGACGTTGCAAAATTTTCAACATATTGGTTAAGGCCGAAAGTTGAGTTGCTACTGAATCTTTACCCTCTAATTCATATGCTCCTGATGTTTTTCTGCCAGCTCCCAATCTTGCACTTGGAAATTGGTAATCTTTATTTGCAATCCTGTCGAGGATGTTAAAAGCTTCCTCAGGTGATTTGTCTAGTAAGGTGTCATTTGCTGAGGCATCTAGCATCATTCAAGTTGGTGCATTAACTCCATTATAAAACATCACTACTTGTGTCCAATCATGAAATCCATGGTTAACACATTTACGAAGTTGACTTTTATACTTATCCCAACATTCGTACATTGATTCATCATCTCCTTGGTGAAAACTAGCAATGTCATTCCGAAGCTGTGTATTCATATTGGGCGGATTATATCAGAGTAGAAAACTCTTGAATAAATCTGCCCATGAGTCCATTGAACCAGAAGGCACTCCATTGAGCCAAGCTATTGCTCTATCGCGTAAGGAATAAGGAAAAAGTTTCAGTTTGATCATATCTTCTTGTACTCTTTGTTGTTGAAATGAATCACATACTTCAAAGAAAACACGAACATGTTGCCTAGCATCCTCATTGGGTGTACCACCAAATTTTCCAATAGAATTCAGCATATTGAACATCACCGCTTTAAGCTTGAAATGAGTGGCTTGTATTTCAGGTGCCACTATGCCTGGATTTAGAAATTGATTTAATTGTTCTCTGGTTCTTAGGACATGCAACCTTTGTCTGAGTGATTGCTCAATTTCATGGTCGAATGGTTCCAAAGGCTTACCAGAAATCTTAAGGTCATGCAATAATAAAAACCTATAAAAGAAAACAATAAACTACGTTAGACTAAGTAAATATAAAGTGACAAAAGGAACTTGTTATGGCTAAAATTTTTGTCAGTTGTCAATCCCCGACAACGGTGCCAAAAACTTGATCGCTTGTAAATGTATATGCTAAGGCAAGCAAATCTGTACAAGTATACACAATCGATGCAAGTAATATAGTAGTGAGTGAGTATCGTCTCCATAGGGATTGAATGAGAAATAATTTTTCACTATAACTAGAACTAATGTCACAAGTTAAGTCCTACTAAGTATTATCCTAAGAACTAATATTAACAAATTAAAAAGAATGATTCAATGATTTCAGAAAAGTTTAACAAAATAAAACAAGTATTGGTCTAAATATAATGCAAACAACCTCACATATTCAGACGTGTCACAGAGCACTAATGCTAAACCATTGTCTTGACAACAATTATTTTAAGTTCAAAATGAATTATTATGACTCACTAAAGCTGCCCGACAGGATTACTAGGTATTCTTAGACGGTTTCTATGGTGATACCTCTCAGTGTTAACTATAGACGTTGTCTTAACCTACTCTAGCATTTATCCCTTTTAGTCGTTTGAAACTCACTCCTTATCTCTAAGGTAGAAAAGTTAGAACTTCACCATCCTGGATTCATTCATTTGCTTACCTTGATCTATCTTAATTCTCTCAAACCTAAGAATCACTATCTAGACAAAAGGCTATCTCTCGATGCTCTTATATTTCCAAGACTTTGGGTTCCGGGGGGAGTATGGTTAAAAGGCTGAAACTTAAAGGAATTGACGGAAGGGCACCACCAAGAGTGGAGTCTGCGGCTTAATTTGACTCAACACGGGGAAACTTACCAGTTCCAGACATAGTAAGGATTGACAGACTGAGAACACTTTCTTGATTCTATGGGTGGTGGTGCATGGTTGTTCTTAGTTAGTTGGTGCTAGCTTCTTAGAGGGACTATGGCCGCTTAGGCCAAGGAAGTTTGAGGCAATAACAGGTCTGTGATGCCGTTAGATGTTCTGGGCCACACGCGCACTACACTGATGTATTCAACAAGTCTATAGCCTTGGACGACAGGCTGGGTAATCTTTGAAATTTCATCGTGATGGGGATAGATCATTGCAATTGTTGGTCTTCAACGAGGAATTCCTAGTAAGCGTGAGTCATCAGCTCGCATTGACTACGTCCCTACCCTTTGTATACACCGCCCGTCACTCTTACCGATTGAATGATCCGGTGAAGTGTTCGGATCGCGGCGACGCGGGCGGTTCGTAGGTGAACCTGCGGAAGGATCATTGTCGAAACCTGCCTAGCAGAACGACCCGCGAACATGTTATCGAACAACAATTGGAGGGGGACTGGTCGTGTAATTGCCCCTCGACCCCTCCATGTCTCGGAGCACTGGGAACGCTTGCTTCCGCATGCACTTTGTGCTATTGCGCGGCACGACCTGGTGTTTTCGAGGCAAAACGAACAACCCCAGGCGTGAATCGCACCAAGGAATTAGAATGAAAAGGCGGTCGTGTATTGTCCCCGCCCTGTTCGCGGTGTACGTGCGTCCTAGATACACCTGCTTTGTCGTGAAAACACAAAAAAT